ATCTTGACCACCATTTAATTCAAAAATCCTGTGGGTGCTGTGCACCTGGGTCCACATTTGGGTCCACACTAGGGTGGGAAGAGCCCTGGGTGCTGTGGCATTTTGTTCTTCAAGCAGCTGCGTGCTCTGTCTTGCTTGCAACATGGACTAATGCTATGCTTCCATAAATCTAGATTTTTGTAGGAAAAAGAGAAATGGGGGAGAAAGGGTGGTGCTGATGAAGAGATATAAAGTACAGCTGGGCAGATTAGGCTGAAAAGGAATTAGGAACTTAATGATGCTTTAGCAGCCTGAAATCTGCCAGTCCAGAGATGAAACTTTAAAGACGCTCTTGGCAAGCCCTGGGAAAAGACAGCCTGTCGAGCCAATGCCACCTGCTGGAGACAGCACTCGGACACCAAGATTGATGGCACCAGTTAAATTAACGGCTTTTAGTCGTCAATGTATCCAAAATCCCTCTTCTGAAGCTTGAAAACTTGAGCCCATATCTGGCAGGGCAGACATCTCAGGAACCCACAAACACAGCCCCTCTACCATCCCCAGGAATGTTTAGTTTCTCCCAGGTTCCCTGTCTCCTTTCTTCCATTTGCCTTATCTGGCAAGTAATCATCCTTGCAGCGGTAATTGCTGCAGGAGCCATATGGGATCCATAAACTGCTAATGCTGGGGGATTTTTTACAAAGAATCATAAGACCTGTACATTATGGTTGTTGATATTAACATGATTATCCCTGGTGTAAAAGCAGCCAAAATTGCCAAAATAAGTTGCAGAAATGGTTACATCAGCACAGACATGAAGACAAAGTTATCTCTGAAATCTTAAGTTTTTAATTGAGAGGAAATAATATGTTTGCAAGCTCAAATGAGAGAGTTACAGAATAAACCCAAACCTAAAGGGAGGGAAGGTGGAGGGAGGTGAAGCTTCAGTGTGGAGACCACCCCACTGGGATCTGGGAAGCAGCCGCCAACAATGCGGCAGATCCAGGGCGGGTTCAGCACTTCCCTGTGTGTGTACATGGTGCTTATCTAATAAGCCATTTCTTGAGCTCCAGTGATACTGCTACTTATATCATAAATTCAATGATCTCCACTTTACTGGCCATTAATCTGCTTCTTTTCATGACAATTTTATACTCTTTTGATAAACTGTTTGTCTAACCACATGGAAGAAACAATGTCAAGAGCTGTACCTTAGGCGTTCGCCCAGCTAATGAAGAAAATCCATCACAAGGAGAGTTTATCTATTGCTTTTCTGGATGTAAATAAAACATCAGGCTAATTTACTTCCATTAATCTCAAAGACCATTGCTACAACAATAATCCTATGTTAGAGCAGAATTTTTTTTCCCTTTTTCACATAAATATTTAAGTACGTACTGAAAGAATAAATAAATTGCTTTCTAAACGCCAGATTATTTTTATATACAGAGATTTAACAATGAATTTGGATTTACTTGCTAGCTCATGCCTTTCAGGCAGCAGACAGCCATGCTTCCCCTGTGCAGCACAGGGATGCATTTGGGTGGGTTTTGCAGAGCACAGGGATGCTCCCAAACACAGGGATGCATTTGGGTGGGTTTTGCAGAGCGCCCTGTGGGGTCTCTGAGTGCCACTTGCGACAACCCACGCTTAAGGGGAAGGAAGCACAAGGGTGGTTCATCATCTCAGCCCCAAGTGCCACCCCACTGGTGTCACCCCTGGCCACTGGGTGGGTTCAGTGAGTGCTGGGGCTGCTCCACGAGGTCCATGTGGTGCTGCAGGAAAGGCTACTTAGTGTCCTGTGTCCAGCTCAAGAAGTGGCCCTTAAGTGCAGCAAATGGACATTTAGTTTACAGAGAGTGAGGCCAGCAAAGCCCTGGAGCAGGCTGCTGGGGGTGCCAGGGATCACCAGCTTTGGGGCATGAAGATCAGGCTGAACAGGAGCAGAGACACGGTGTGTGTTTTCACGTGTGAGTGCGTGTGCTCGGCAGCTTGGAGCCAATCTGGCCCCGCCTTCCAGCCCCCAGCCCTATTTTCTGACAGCTGAAAGGCTGTGCACAGCCAGAGAGCTGTGAAACACAGATTGTGTAGCTGGGATCACTGCGGAACGAAGCAGTTCCCTCTGGGTGGAGCTCCGTGGAGGTGTGTGCCTGTGCTCCCAAATGCTGTTCTTGGAGCACATTCCAAGGTGCCAAGGGTGAGCAGGAGGGTGCCTCAGAGATTCCCCCCATCAAGGAGCTCTGGTCTCTCCACTGGTTTTTCCCTTGTTTGGCTGCTGCTGCTGCTGCCTTCTTAAAGACAAAGCCATCCTGCAGCCAGCTTGGACCATCTGTTTTTGCAACCACACCCCAGTACGATCTGTGATGACGTGCAGTAAAATTTGGTAAAACAGCATCCCTGCTCAGATGAAATCTAGTTTGTCAAGCATGGCCCCACAGGAGTATTTCCAACTATAAAGTAGTTACAACCATAACAGTAAGTTTGTCATAGGAAATACGACACGCTGAGAGCTGGAGCAAACTGAACCCAACTCGACATGGTAAAGGCTGACGCAGGCAAGGCCACAGAATCTCTCTGAACAGCCATGACCACAGTTCAGAGCCTGTGCTGGTTACATAGGCAAGCCCATGGAAAAATGGACTAATTAAAGAAGATTAATGATCAGTCCCAGCAAGATCTTGGCTTTTGCTTCTCTCATTTATCCATACATGGCTCTTTGTTAAATCAGGAGGGATTTTTTTCACATGTATAACTACTTACAGATGTTCCCACATGTGTTTAGCCAGCAAACTCACATTACAACTAAAGAAATGCAAAAAACCCCACTACCTTGTGCAATGTTAAGGTAGAACAGATGCAACCAGAGGCAAGGCAAAAGCTGCTGGTCCAGCTCAGCAATGTCCACAGCTTTGGCCGCTGCGCAGATCCCCAACTGTCTCTTGATTCTTGCTGAGAACTTGGCTTACATGGGATGAAAACCTCTCCTTTCATGAAATTTCTCACTTCAATGACATAAAGCAAGACTCTGACTGATGCTGTACACTGTAACTAATACTCTTGTTACCTCACGGCTTTTCCCAGCATATTTTTTGGATTTAATTTTGTTACATATAGTATCTTTTACTAAAGCCTGGGCATGGCTTTTCATAGGATCCAAAATGAGTTATTTTATTGTCTTTCAAGCTCACAAGCTAAGCTCATCTCCAAGTAATAAATCCTTATAATTCTGGCTTTAGCAGGGTTTCCATGACCATGATCCTTCTCATGGCACAGCAAATAGGGTGATAATTCATGGGGTTGGAGAGAGTGCTGGGGGAAAGGCCCTCCCTGGCTAATTGGAGGGCAGGACTCCAGGAACAAGCTGATGGCACTTTGGATGCTGCTGTGCTTGTGATGATGGCTGCTGATAATTCCTGAGAGCACTCGTGCTTGCTTGTTGATTCATGTCACCCACGTCTCGCTTCACCCTCTTCAGCAAGAGGGAAAAGGGGGAAAAAGGTAATTGTCTGTGCTTATCAGCATGGGTGTTAAAGCAGATTCTCAAACTGACATAGTGCTGAGAAGGATGGAGCAGGGAAGGGATCCATACCCAGCCTTTCCTCTCCCACTGCATGGGTGGCCATGTGCTCCAAAGCTATTGCAATGGGACAGCTGCACCATGGTGCAGCTGGGTATCCATGCAAGTCTCACTGAGACTTTCCAAAGGCACAAGTGAATTGGAGTGCCTGAAGCAATGGATGCTCTGCCTGTAACACTGGAGAAATGGAGGCCTTTAATAAACCTTCTGATGGCAAACCATAAACCCACAGGCCAGGAACTGTCTGCTCCAGGCAAACACTGACTGCATGACTCAGCTGGGAGCACACTGTGGGGAATTATGGAACCCATCCCTGCATCTCTTTTCCTCCTGTTCATTTTGATTTTGAATTGTCTCTCAGCCCTGACACTTGAGGACCTGCCTAGTTGGGATGCTGCTGTGCTTCATCAGAATGGGCTGCTGGGAAAGAGCCTGAGGGGTGACAGGGACAGGATGGGTTCTGCCAGAGGTGCCAGCATGCTCAGAAAGCATTTTACACTCGACTGCCTTCTGCTAAAATAGCTTGGCATTTTTGTTAAAACATATTTCTGCAAGCCTGGGGAAGAGTTACATGCAGTCACACCCAGGAGAGCAGCCAGGAGTTCTTTTCAAAAGTGGGGTAGTTTTGCCTTTAATCCCCTGACAGTGAAGGCAAAGAGTGAACAAGAGATTTAAACCTTCAAATCTGACATTGAGAGCATTGGCAGCAGCCCAGGCCTACCAAGGCACATGCATGGATCACGGCACATGGCACACAGCACATGGCTCTCACTGGGGATGGTACCATGGGCTATGTGAGGGCAGCTGAGCTTCAAGGTCCTGCCTAGTCTCAGCTCCAGGCAGTGGCTCACATTCTCCCAGGCACAGGTCCCCTCTTCTGCAGGGGGAAAGGCAGAGCTCAGCTCTAGTGTCTTGTCTTTGTTCAATCCACTTAGAAAGCTCCCCTCTGCTTTCTCCCTGCCCCTCCATCCAGGATATTTTGGAAATAGTGAAAGCATCATCAAAAAGCCCAGTACAAGTCATGGAAAGGCTGCCAGTGACTTCTTCCACTGCTTCTTTAACTCTTTCCAGGGTCCCTGTCAGCCGTTCCACTGTCCAAGACTCCAGTTATCATAGTTGCTGTGTGTTTGTCTGTGTGTGAGTAAAGGCATCCAAAAAACCTCACGGATGCACCCTTCCTTTGAAAATCCATGCTGAGACCATAACTTGATGACTGTTGCCTTTCTCAAGCAGTTGTGGGTTGTCTTAGGAGACCTCTCCTCCCCATCTTTCCCACTCCCTGTGGTTCCATCTGCTTCTCCAGGTCATCCTACAAGGTGAGGGGAAACACCTTTGTGGAGAGCCAAGCACCGGCACGGAGCCTCATAACGTCCATGCCGAGGGCATGAGGTACATCCACGGCTGCTGGGTGAGCAAGGCAGGCACCGTGAGCCAGCCGGAGGTTGGTTCAGCGCGGCGAGTCCTCAAACACAGTCAGGTTGTGCTCTTGGATGTGGCGGAGCAGGATTTGTGCCCGCCTGTCAATGGTCTGGAGCAAGGGTCTCAGCCCCTCGGCGCCCCCCTGGCTCTCCCAGAGCTGCCGGTCCAGGCGCAGGGACTGCAGCAGCAGGCTCTGCAATCTGCCCGACCGCAGCGTGGCCACTGCCGCTGCTGGGAAGCTGCAGTGGAGGAGCAGAAGAGACAGGGAGAGAAGGGGTTATCCAGGGAAAGCTCAGCAGAGAAGGAGGGAGCAGCCGGGCACTGGAGCAAAGATGCTTCAAGAGGAAATGCCTATCTTCCCAGAGGAACACAGGAAACCTTCTGCTTAAAACTCTACCCATGGTGAGCATGCAGGATAAACCCAAATTCCAAATCATGCCTCTAGCATGCCAAAATGCCTCATGGGCAATGGCACAAGAAATGCTGAAATACCTGATTACTCATTATTTTTGTTCAGCTGACAATTAAAGAGGGGAAATAGGCTTTAGAGCCTGCCATCAGCCACCCAGAGCAAAATAAAGAGTTAGTTTCAGCACAGGGACACGCGGGATGTTTTTGAGAGCCTAGAAAGCCACCCTGTTCTGGGGACATCCAGAACATCCATCCCCCTTCAGAGGGATGCCCCATCAGGAGGCCAGAATCAGCAAGAAGGTGAGCACACACACGGCTGTGGAACATCCCCTGTGTGCCAGCTCAGCCCTTGCTCAGCATGTGCACATTCCTACCTGTCTATGCCTTGCAGGAGCCTGAAGTTGAGCTTCTCCTCAGGGTGCTGTGGCCTGCCCGCGTTGTCGATGAACACCAGGCGGGACGGTGCACTCCTCCGGACCTGCCAGCAGGATGGCAAGGAAAAGTTCACTCAGTGCAGAGTCACCAGTGTGGGGCTTTAGGCTGCTTTTTAATGCAGTAGGAAAGCCTGAGAGTATTTGGAGGAACACAGATGACAATGTCTATGTCCCTCCGTGCCTGGGCATACCTCCCACCAGGGACCAGCATCACCATGGGACCTACATTCCCTTTGCCACCATCTCAGTCCTACAAGTACCTCCCAGACACCTCCATGCTAGCCCCAGAGCAGGCCTTGGACAGCAGGGAGACATACCAGGATGTGGACCAGGACCAGCTCTGCTGGATTCCGGCACTTCTCATGGAGCATTTCCTCCACGCAGGGTTCAGAGGGATCAGGATGAAACCCACAACAGTAGCGGTCCAGGCGGTCATGAACCTGCAGGAGACATTTGGGGATCTTAACAGGGACATGTGCCTGGGACACGGGGGTCCTGTTGTGAGCTGTTCTTGTACAGAGGAAAATGAAACATTTCTAGGCATCCTCAGGAGACGCACGATGGAAAAGCTGCATACACTGGTGAGTGAGACTAATGGAAGCACACGTGCAAAACCTCTTTGGCATGAAGAAGGTGATGACAAAGGTGATGGTGACAGGCTTTTCTGATAGAATTCAGACACCTGGGACCTCCACATTCTGTATCTGCACAGACTGAAGGCGTTGTGCTTCCAGCTGCAATGAAGGGAAGATGTACACAATGATGAATGAATAAAAAAAAAAACAACAAAGCACCCAAGGAAACCTAGAGTCTGAAACCTCAAAAATAATTTATTTTTCCAAGTCCTGATGTTCTGTATGATGGTTTCATCAGGTTGCTGTCACATGTGCAATCTTTCATCCATCCCTATGGTAACCTGAGCAGCTCTCAATGGAAAGATGAATGGAAAAGTATCAGCAAGGGAAAAAGCAGTCCGTGAATACACAGAGCATGCCTGACATTTAAGTAGGGCCACAGTGACTTGTTTCAGCTACATTTGTGTTTAATCATTTGCAGGTGCTGCTAAGGCTCCATGTTGTCCAGGCTGTCAAACCTCCTGCTTCCCATCCCAGTTCCCTACAGAAACCCTGGAGCTGCTTGACAACTTCCAGTGCTTCAACCACACTCTTGGAGGGATGAAGGGCTTTTAAAAGACATAAATCTCTGCCAGACCTGGCCTCAGTATTTATGGAGCTTCCTCAGCTTTGTCAGAAGCAGCTGGTACATCCTCTGGGGTGATTTGTGGGGCAGACAGGACCTTGGCTGTCAACAGACCTTCCCATGGCTGTGTGTTGACATGACATGTGTTGACATGTAGGGGAGCTGCCTCACCTCCTCCCGATCTTGAGGCCTGTTTACAAAAAACCCATGTATATATATGTTCCTTTAAATATATATGAAATATATATTAAAAATATATAAAGTACAAAATAAATATATTTTCTGGTTGCAGCATGAAAATGTCTGACTCGCTGATTTGCTCGGCATTGCTGGTGCCAGCCCAGGAGGCAGAGCTCGGGGTGCAGAGTGGCTCCTGGAGCCACTGGGAGGGCTGGAGCAGGTCTCAGGTGATCCGTAAGGGGTCTACAGGTGACAATGAGATAGAAGCCAAGTGACCCACTGAGGCTGCCTATTCCCTTCACCGTGGTAATTATCACAAGCTATCTATAATGGGCTGTGCTTTGCACAGAGTTCAGTCTGAACCAAACGCTGACCAAGCACTGGAGAAGATGCTGCAGGGAAACACAAACTGTGATCTCCATGGTCATTCCATTGAGAAGAAGGATTAGTCCCACACTGAAGCCTCTCAATCCCCTCTGTTTTCTGAGGCTTAATGAAGAACTCAGGTCAGTATGCCTCCATTGGGAGACACTCCGGCTAAAATGTGCTTGAGCATCTTGTCACAAAACATATGGAAGTAGAAGAAAATATCACATTTCCTCCACGCATCTCCTCGGTCTGCCTACTGGAGAGCTCAGCACACCATTTTCTCTCACCTGCTATGTTGTTTTGCAGGCTGCACAGAAGGTGAAGACAACCTGAGAGAACTTACAGAGACATTAAATAGGCTCAGCGCTCCACTCACCCACCCACAAGCACCTGTGAAACCAAGGTGGATTGGTGCTGAACCCGCAGAGGTGTGAGGTGGAGGCAGATCTGGTGTCTAAATGGAGCCCCAGGAGAGGGACCAGATGGCTGTGGAGATGCAGAGAATGCCCTGACATGCTGACAAGCCCTCCCTCCCCTGGCCCTCCCCTGATTTTTTGGTATTAATTTCTTCCTTCCAGAGCCTAAACAGCTCTAATCCATGGGAATTTTGGTATTACTGCTAGAACACAAATAAATGAACCACACTTTATCCCATCCAAGATCAAACATTACCAGAAGCTCACCTTCAGCCCCTCTTATGCCCATCCTGAGGCATCCCCTTGCGTCTGATAGGTTTTTCCAGTTATGATTCAGCCTGGGACAGCTTCCCCTAGGGAAATTTTTCTTTCTCTCCCCCTGGCTGGGAAGAAGGTGTCCCAGGGCAGGGATGTGGCTGCAGAGCTGATTTGGTTTTGTCTGTCTTTAAGTGCAAGACAAAGCCATCAGCAGCTGCCTTTTTTCTACCAGCCTTGGCATTTTGCCCCCACTAAAACTTTGCACATAATGGGGTGTTCCCTTACGGCAAATACAAATATAAATTAACATAGAAAAAGACAAATTTTAAGAGAAATTGAAGAAAACTACCAAGATTTCAATTGCAATGTACAACAGGGCTCAAATCTCACCAACTTCTCCTTCCCCAGCAAGGCTGTGGGATGCCAAAGCCATTTCTGAAAGATGCTAATCCACTTCTATAATATCCTCTTTACCTTTATGTGACTTGGTCTGCATGGGAGGATTCCATTAGAATTATTGAGAAGAACCTGTGGATTGCCCTTGAATTTATCATTGCACTGCTTCAGCCCTTGAGGAAGAACTCTCCTTAGAACTGGATACTTTCTCCTGCAGTCTCAGCCTTTCCACTCACTCAGCGGTATTTTGGCCCAGGGAAGGGAAGGGGATTAGTTAATCATCTCATTTCTCTGGCTGCTTCAGCTAAAATATTTTCAAGCTCAGACAGAACTGCTCCACCTCTGCCAGTCATAGTTGTAAAAAAAAGGAGAAAGAATAAGGAAAACATATTTTAGTAGTTTGGGGGTTTAAAATTTCTTCCCTTTTTTCTTTTATTTGTATTAATACCTGTCCTTTCAGGCAGTTTTCTCTTGTCTGATAATCAGCCCCCAGGTGCCTAAAAAGGCTTTCTTTTTCTCCACAGAAATCACTTTTGCCTCCTCACAGCTGCCCTCCAAGACCTGGTAACTCTCTGGGATACTGTTGTAATCCCTCATAGCAGCAGGGTATGATTTTCCAGACAGAAGATTAACTGCTATTAATGCAGAGGAGGAGAAAGGCAGTGCTGTCCAAGGCACGGCTCCTTATTTCCAATGCCAGCAGCACATCCCAGAGTTTGGATGTGATGGGGCTGGTGCAAGATATGCTGCTTATCCCTAGGGATACCCTAGGGATGTCTCTTTTAAGGATGTCCCAGGCCTCTGCCAGCAGAAAATGAACAGCAGAAAGCTCGCCCACATGAGGACAGACTCACCACAACCTGCCGGTGTTTCCCCTGCAAGTCCCAAACATGGACCATACTCAGGCCAAAGTGCTTCTGCACAAAGTTCTGCTGCTCCCCATCAGCTGAAGAGTGAAAATACATCCCAAGAAACCACAGCTGATGTGACCCCACAGAGCAGCAGGAGACCATGGTCAGGCAATATAGATGCAGGTGCAGGGGAACCCGGGTGCCACAGCTGATGGAACAGGTGGCCTCAGTCACCTACCTGGAGAAGAAAGTCAAAGAGGGCCAGGCGGCTCCACTCGCTGTGTGGGATGCTGGAGCAGGGAGTGTCCCTGGCCACCAGCATTGGTCTGTGGGGCTGCAGCATCTCCTGGTACTGCAGCCATCCCAGGGCACAGGAGTTCTGGTCATTGTTGGCATCCTCCAGGTGCTGGAGGTCAGGAGCCCACCAGATGATGGGGCGCAGGGCGCCGTCGGTGTAGCTGTAGGGCAGGAGGCGGCTGGTGAAGCGCCGGGCCACGGCGGGCAGGCTGCGGTTCAGCCCCAGCACCCTGTCCAGGTGGAAGGCCAGCACCTCGTACAGGTCCCCAGGGCGCTTGATGAGCCCACAGCACCCATCCTGGCAGTCTCCTTCCGGGCTGGCCGGCAAGACATCCCCCTTGGCATCTCCCTTGGCATCCCCCACGGCACGCAGCCTCACTCGCATGATTTGCCCGTGGGCAGGAACACGGGTTTTGGAGACCACCTGCCCACTGGACAGCAGCCACATCTTCTGGAGGTCATCAGCAGAGAGCCAAGGGGGAGCGTCCCTCTCCAGCCTCCTCCACCTCCCGCTCCAGCCAGGAGCCTGCTCCTGCTGCAGGTGAGTGCGGGGCATGGGGTGCCTTCTGTAGGCTCGTCCTCCAGACAGGGGGGCAGCCACCTCCCTCGGGGGCCCTGGGGGGGACGAGGCCGGCAGCGGGAGCAGGGAGTGGTCCAGTGGTGGGGGCAGGTGGGTGAGAGCCAGCAGGGCCAGGGCCAGCAGCACCCCGACAGCTGCTGGGGCTGGGGGCTTCATCCCCGTCCTTCGCCACGGTCGCTGGGCCTGCGGGGACAGAAAGGTGGAGTGATACTGGAGTGTTACTGCAGGCAGAGCCCTCGGTAGGGTTTGCTTTGGAGAAGCAGCCCCTCTGCTTGTTATTCCACTGTGCCATGATTTGTGCCAGAATTTAGCTGCAGTCCCTTCAGAAGCAAATCAGAGCCAGGGCTCACTCCCCACACAGAGGTTGCCATATCTGTCGTGCTGAGGTAGAGGATGACCTTATGGGCAATGAATTTCTTGTGGTCAAATAGTTCACTTTAAAGACTCAAGAAATGAAAAGAAAACAAACCAAACCAGAGCAAATTCCTGTCTAGATGTGAACACTTTCCAGTTCCTAAGAGGTTTTACTTTTCAGACCTTACTCTGGGGACCCTCACTGGCTCCTATTCTGGTTGCACACTGAACCCATAATTTAGATATCTCAATGTGTGCTGAGACAAGGCTTCTGGAGCTCTGCCCATCGCTGTATCTGGCAAAAGCTAGGTAGCTCTTAGTCTCAGTCAGGACCTGTGACTGGCTGTGTTTTAAAAAAAAAGGTACAAACTCCTGGAGGGCTGGACACCTCTCCTAAGAAGACAGGCTAAGAGAACAAGGGTTATTCAGACTGGAGAAGAGAAAGCTCTGGGGAGAACTTACAGCACCTACCTGTGCCTAAAGGGACTCACAAGAGAGCAGGAGAGGAATTTTTTACAAGGATGTGGAGTGACAGGACAAGGGAAAAGGACTTTAAACTGAAAGAGAGGTTCAGATTAGATATTAGGAAAAAATTCTTAACTCTGAGAGTGTTGAGGCATTGGAACAGGTTGCTCAGATAAGCTGTGGAGGCCCCATCCCTGGCAGATGGCAGACATTCTCCAAGCCAATCCAGTCCCTGGACCATGCTGCACCCATGCCTCATTCACTCAGGAATGGGCAGCCTCACACACTTGTGAGGACAGACTCACACACTTCAGGAAGCTGGAGGCACAAAAAGCACCTTGGCCCCATTTCTCTGCTTTCAACAGGCTTTGCAAGCAGCTCAAACCCACATTGGAAGTCAAAGCAATGGTCAAGAGGATAGATTTTTCTCCAATTATTTATTTTGGAAGCAGAAACATATCCATGGCAGACACAGCAGGACAATATATTGCCAAAGAAAGGATAAGAGACTGTTTATAAGAGGAAAAGCTTGAAAAAAAGAGCTATAAAGCTGGGGAGGTGAGAGCCAGCAGACAGAATTACTTCCAGAAAGCAGCTGGGCAAGCAAAAGCATTTCCAGCTGTGGGGCTTTTAGGACCACAGGCTCCCACTGACCACAGGGACCCATCACCAGCACAACTCCTGCACCATGAGCAGCTGCCCCAGGCAACCCCAGTGCACGAGCTTATGAGTTGACACAGCACTATCCTCAAATCCATCAGGTTCCACGTCCTCAACTTGGGGAGGCTGCTTCAGACAGCCCCCTGGTGAGAAGCACACCCCTTGCAGACACTACATCAGCTGAGGTGGGTAAGAGGAGCCACCAACTCACTGGCTTCAGCCATAGGGGTGCTCCTTCCATGCCTCCCTTTCAAGGATTGAGCAGATTTAATGCAGTTTATAAGAGCTATTGATGATGCACTTGGAGTGATTCACCTTTATAGCTCTCACTTAATTGCTTCTCTCCCAGAAACACAATGTAGTGCAGCAAAATATATCTGCTGGGCCAAAGGCTTTTTTTGAGACAGGGTTTACACCAGCCTCTGCCAGGAACCAGGGGCTGCCTGGAACAGGTCGTTGGGACCTGCCAGGAGACCTCTGCTTTATCTCTTCCCAGAGTGGAAAGGACCTAGTCCAGGGTGAGACTGTCCAGAGAAGGATGTCCTGTCCCAGATCACCAGCAGAGTTATTCAAGGCTTGGCATTAACTGTCCCAAACATCAAACTACATGGTTAAATCATTGGTTAAATCATTGTCTTAGGTGCCTCTCTGGGGAGAGGATGAGTGTGAGCACCCCTAAGAACCCTGAGGGGCAGCAGGACTTCTATCAAGCAGCTGGTTGTGATTCTAGCTCTTTCCTACTTGGATGGGATAATGATTTGCTGTGGAACCACAGCCAATGCCAAGTGACACAGGCAACACCTGAGCTCAGATACTCAAAACCTTTGTGCCCCAGATTTCAAGCAAATTCTGCAGAGTGAAGCCACACATTCTTTCCCAAACACCTACAATCCACGTCTGGCCTCCTGATCAAGAGTTTAGGGGAGGTGCAATGTCTAAATTCTAGTTTAACTGCAGTAAAATAACTCTGTGGCATATAAAGGGCCGATTATGGTATCCTGATACCCACACTCCTTTCAAATCATCACTGTAAGTGCCTCACAATCTGTTCCTCTGGCTTCAAAGTATGCCAAATTAACAGCAGTTATATCTATGGACTCAATCCCAAAGGATAGGGCTAACTGTAAACCTCAGTATTCCTATCTGCATTGAGCGAAGTCCCTTCCCAATCTGTGCTTTCTTGGGCATGTTTTTCCAGCACCTCCCCTGTCCCACCCTTCTGGAGAGACACAGCCCATCCCACTCTCACCAAAAATCCCTGTAATCCTTTTCTTCAGCCCGGAGGATTCTCAGGGTGATTGTTTTTGTTATCCAGCTGATAATAACCCTCTGGTTGCTTATACCATCTCTGGGTATTTAAAAAGCCTGTCTGCCAAAATTTCCAGTATCCTGGGGGTAGAATGCATGGAGGAGCCACATGGAGTACTTTCAAAGCACTGCAGGAAAAATCCTTTTTAACCTACAGCCAGAGAGCAGAGTATGCCAAATGGATGGCAACAATTGCTAGGTTTTTAATGTCAAGTAAGTTTACAGTCCAAGCGGTTAAGGAATCACTATTGTCCAAAGCCACTTTGTCTTCTTTGTCAGTGAGCTCGGGTTTGTGTATCACAAGTTAAACCCATTGCCTTCCCACCCTAAACCCAAAACCCTGGGCTGTGAAGCTGGGCAAGGGTCAGTGCAGGCTCCCTTCCCCAGCACCGTTCAGGCTTTCCCTGCCACATCAACAATAAAAAGAAGCAAAACAGGTGCAAGTACAGCCTCTGGGTTATTTATGGCAGTTGATATTGCAAATTTAATAATAACCTAGGTGATAAAGCATTGCAGAAATAATGCTGTATTTACAAGCCCTGGGTAAATACTTTTCCAAACAGTCTTTCTCTGAGCCCATGCTGTAAAAAAATGCTGCAGTTTAAGCTGTGGCTTTGATTCAGCCCGAGATGCAAACCATACGTACAGCTATGTTTTGCCAGGCTGACATACTGACAGTACAGCAGGTCTTCGCCAGAAATTAGGTCCTTTTCCCAGCAGGCAAAATCCATAAAAAGGCTTAGAGAGGTACTACTTGTTCCAGGATGCCAATAAGTAAATAAAATATATTCTCACTCATCAGAGGGACATACAGCACAGCCCAGGCTCTGTGGCACAGTGGAGAGCTGTGTAGCTTTAAACGCTAGGAGATAAAACTTTCTAAGTCTAGTTGGGGGTGAGGTGGGGGAGGGTTATCCTTGACATTGTATTCCCAGGATGCTTGAACCTTGGCAGAATTTGAAGCAGAGAAGTCTGTTTTCAATTTCTTTTCAAACTGCATCAAATTGGCTTTGTCGAGCTTGAAAGAAAAGAAAAACAAACTCCAAACTTCATTATCCAAGAATGTAAGAAACAGCCCTGAGACTAGAAAGATGCCACGGAAATACGTGGCTGTTGAAAACTGGATTGATTCCTGCTTTCCTCTGGCATTCAAAAGAGTCCTCCTGCCCCTGCACTGGCACTGCAAGACACCTTCAGCAATAAACCCCACTGTCCCAAAGAGGTGCCCAAAGGAGCCAGGATGGCTCAGCCATGGCCACACCACTCTTGGCCACCTGCCTGCCCTAGACTCCCAATCTCAGAGGACTTTGCCAAAGGCAACCTGCTGATGAGCAGGTTAAAGGCAGGCCCGTGCATTTATCTGGGTGCACACTGAGGGGGTGCAACACACAGGGCTGTGCTCACCCTCTCAGCTCCGCGCTCGCTGCCCGCCCAATGAACCGCAAAACCGCCTGGGCAGCAGGAGGTGCAGCCTGCCGTGACCAGCTTTAACAAAGACTGCTTGAAAAACAAGTGGGAAACCTCCTCTGCCTGCCCCCCACCTCTGGGAATGTCTCCAGAGCCTTGCAACCACACATGGTGCTCGCAGCAGCTCGCGGTGCAATGGGAGAGTGGGCACATCAATCAGATCCGGGCTTGGATCATCCTCTTCCTTTTCATGTTGTGCAGGAGGATTTCTTGGTTTGTTAAGGGCGTGGCATGTGGGTTGGAGACCTATAACCATGCAGGGGACATGGAAGGAGACAAAACCTCTTCATCCCCAGAGTGACTCCAGGCAAGGAAACGCTTGGCAGCATCTGTTGCCCATCATTCAAATGCGTAAATGCCTCCCTCTATTATCCTGCTCAGGGAAGATAGATGGCTGGCAGAGTGGGAATTTAAAGACAGCTATTAAATGATGATTGCCAGTCCCAAAGGTAGCCCTGGCTCAGAGTGGCTCCCCAGGAGGGCAGGTCTGCTGTGCTCCCCCAGCACATGGGGACAGCTCCACCAACACTCACTTGCACCCACATAGCCATGGGGCATGAGGAATAAGACAACCCTTCATCCGGCCTCAAGATCCATCAAAGTGACTGCAATTCCTAGCAGACCCACACCAGCTTTGTGTCTGAGTTTTTATCCTCCAGAGATGAAGGGTTGTGTCCTCAAAAATGCCCTTCCAGAGGGGAGAACCATGACCCCACTACATTTCAGCACACTGCAGACACCCTGAAGACCATCCTGCTTGGCTCCAGGACAGGGATGTGGCAGGTAGGCCATGCTCATCTGCTCAAGGTGCTCCTCCAGCCCCACTTCGAAAAAAATGGCTTGGGAAGCTCAAACCAGGAACTGAGAAGGTGGAAAAGGGGGCTGCTCCCATAAAGCCTATGAAACAGAGTCACAGCAAACACTGGGTCAGCTGAAGCTCAGGAGGTGGAAATGTGACACATCACCACATGGTGCTGGATCCTTCCCTGCAGAGTCAGCAAAGTCCTCAGAGCTGACACACAAACCTCCCCACCAACATGTCCAAAACCAAACCATAAAATGACCAAGTTTAATTGCCTGGGATGAAACCTTAAAGCATGCTGTACTTTGCTAAATTTTGGATAGTCTGCAATGTTTCTGGGATCATTTATAGCCTAAGTGCAAGACAAGCATGCTTTGCACTAGCAGTGGGCAGCACTCTGGCAGCAGCACAAATGGATCAAACAGTGTTGGCCCTGTTCAGTCTGAGCACCGGCTTCAAAGGGACGGTGCCAACACACCACCTTTAACTTCTCAAATAATGTTGCCTTCACAGCTCCCAGTTATCACTATGGCCTTGGGGCAGCAAATTATAAAAACCTGGAAACCTTCAAGCTCCACAGCCTCTCTCTAGTAATAACCTGGCATGTCCTTGGCTCCAGGCCCTGCATCAGCCCCTTGAGCTTTTTGCTTCCCAGGGATGAAATGTCCTCTTTCTTGCTCTAAACCTCCCACCCTGAGTGACTATTTCCAGTTTTTGGGAGGCTCCTTGCCCTAAAGGTTCTTCTCTGCCATAGGCTAAGCACAGCTCCTTCTCACACATCCATCATCCAAAGGACCATTTTAAACAAAATCTTCAGCCATAGCTGCAAACTGCTCTGTTTAACAGTGCTATTCCCATTTCACTGTCTGCTCCCAGTTGAGTTAGGCACCAAAGAAGTACAGCAGAAACACAGGTTTGTAAATTTTTTGCCATCTCCAGGCGTAGCTTACAAGAGTGGCAAGACTCCCAGCAACCCAAATGTCCTGTTCAGTATCTCTGAAGAAGGAAGACCTGGAGCAGGAGACAGAGGACACACCTTGAAGGAAACAGATGTCCAGCCCCTGGCTGGAGGACACCACACCATGGGGTGCAGCTGATGCACTCAAGGTCAGGGCTTCTGCTTGGGGTGCCCCAGAGGAGACACACACCTTGTCCTGCACCTGGTGTGGACTAAAGCCCTGCAGGGTACTGCCAAGGACTTGCTTGCCCTGTGAGGACACCGTCCTTACCCAAAAATCATGTGATTTTCTCTGAGCAAAAGGAAAAAGTCATAATTCTCCTTACTTCCACTATGTAAATCTCAGCTTGCAGACAGTAAATACTCAGCTTTGTGTGGGATGGACAGAGAGTTTTTCATCCTGGTGCTATGTACAGTGCAGCTCGGGACCACTCTGGTTTAATCCCAGAAGTCAACACAAAGCACCACAAAAATAAATACTCTCCAGGGTGCCACACTTCTGCTTAAAGTAAGCAAACTAATAGCTTTCAGATGCCTTATCTTTCTCCTATTTAAGTTCAGAGTCAGGGCTTCTACTGCAGACTCTTGCTCTTAGCTGGATCTTCTACTTCTTGGAGACACATCTCCCAGGAAATTGATGGAAGTCTTTCAGAACACATGACTGAGATGCACAGGTCTGCTGTCATTTG